GCACCAGACAGTGATGATGAGTGTATGAGCGATTATTATGAGTCTTGAATTTTGTTTGTTTTTTAACTTTCCTTTCTTTGTAACTTGTTTCACTAATTAAATATTTTTTTAAAACTTCACAGTCAAGAAATTGGGGGGTGGCTTATACAAAGGGGGTGCTTATACATGGGGAAATACGGTAATTCTGTGTTGTGTCGGTGTGTATGCGTATTTCTGTGTGATCTTCCTACTTGTTCCTGGTGGATGACCAAGTTTGCTGCGGCCGGTCAGTCCGGTAGTTCCACTGGAAATGGGCTAGACCGACCAGTCTGGTCTGGAGATGCTCGTGAGTAGTTAGTGAAAAAAGGTGGAAAATGTTGAAAGGAAAAAGTGATTTTTCGTCTGTAAGTAGGCTTTTGAGACTACCAATAAATCAGATAAATGAGCTGTGTTCACCCTATTTCGTTTAAGATTATGAAGGTCTGGTAGTTGAATTTATCCGCAAGGCTATGAGTAGACCTTACGCTGCCATTGAATTCCACATAGTTTTACTTCCCAAATTGTATTATCATCCACGATAGACTGCTGTTTCGACCTCGCATAGGTCGAGACTCGAGCCATAACATCACCCTAAGCAAAATGGCATGAGTACATCTCATATATCTGATTTACTGGTAATCTCGAAAGCCTACTTACAAACAAAAATTAAGTAGTGCAGTCGATTGCTATGGTAAATATAACTTTGCTTTATCAAAAATCCCACCACAGAATGTGATATGCGAAAATGCCCGTCCGTCCTTGAAATTCATATCCACTCGGTAACCGAAGAGAAGTCGTGGAAATGTGGCGTGTTGGTCAACGTATCGAGATTATACGCCGCACTGGCATGGTTCAAGTCTCGCTGGGGGTGTGGATGAGACCAGTTGGGGCGAGGTCGAAACTGTAGTCCATCCTGGATGAGAATGTTAGTTGGGAAGCAAGACTATGTGAAATTCAATGGAAGTGTAAAGTCTACTAATGACATTGTGGAAATATACAACTACCCGTCCTTTATCAGCTTAAATAATGTAGGATGAATACATCTCATAGAAGGATATAATGTTGTGTGAAGAGGCTAAGCAATGCTGTGAAGCAAAGTTGGGATGGATCACTAGGGCCAAATAGGCAAAGATGGTTTGTTCAACTCGGCGTAGATTAGTGCTTTCATGAATGTGATTCCAAACGTTTCCAGTCATTTTGTGTGCATTGGAGCAAATCGGCGCCAATTCGGTGCGAAAACTCTCACGACGCTACCGGAGGCTGGTGGCATACTTTCCGAGCAGACCTGCTGTCAACCTCGACAGCCAAAGGCAACCTCTCTCGGTACGTGTTCATCTTCAATTCGTCAGTCAGTTATCCCTTCTTGGTCAGCCACATCAGCCGTCGATAAAAACCATCGCCTCAGCCCCATTTGGGTTTCCCGGTTTATCCGGTGTTTCGATTCCTTGCTGGAAAAGAATTCACTTGACAACGTTTTGACAACGACATCACAAGGCCTATGGATGAGTTACACGTTAGGCTACAGGGCTTAGGCTCGCCGAACTAATCCTCGGCATGCCAACTTAAAATATCCTGAAGCAGGGGTAGATAGTTTATCCCTTTTGCTGAATGCGAGCTGCATGCCATCTAAAGCAGGACGGGTCCATTGCACTTACATCTTTGGCGAGGACACATAAACTTAAAACTGTTATTTGATACTATTTTAGTGGTATACAAGACCACTGCTAAATCTCGTGTTAAAACGATTTCCATTTTTGACCGCCATGGTGATCGTAAGCTACATTTCATCATTGTAGGCTCAACTCTCAGTACTCAGTCGTTCCAGTCCTCCGCTTTGACGACTATCAAAATATACACAAATAAACGGAAATTAAAAATTAAATAGAACAATTGGTTATTTAGCGTATTTTATTCGACCATATTCTTTAATATCCAGGCCTGTCTTTTGCTTACCATTTCAGATATTGTCATTTATAAAAAAATTTAGTTTTAATTTAAAAATAGCTCACACATCAGAAAATATTGTTTTTACATTGATATATGACCAAATATATTCATTTTTATTCCATTCATTTCCATTATTATTCTATACAAAATTCATAGTTTTTCTTATCCTCTATTTTAAGCGCAACAACTGCTTCTTTTATCCACTTTTGGCCTTCAAATATAATTTCTGGCCAAAATGGATCTCAGTAAAATTGAAGTAAGTTACATCCTGTGCATAATTCTGCTACTGATGTCGTCAGATATAAGCTCGAATACGTCACATACGAGAGTACGGAAGGCTTCGGGTTTTGTGTCTGAAATGCAGGCCATGGAAAACTGGCCAAAGTCGGAGACGATAAAATGGAGTCATGCAGTTGTCGTTTGACATTCACTTCGTGTAGAAGTACAGGCGGGTCGTTATTAATATGAACAATTCGTCTCGTAAAAATAGCATACTATAAAGGATCGTAATATTTGAAGCGATTATCACTTATAAAGTCATGTAATTGGTTTCATCTAATTCAAAGGGCTGGAACAAATTAAAAAATTAAGATGTATTATAATAGTTGAGAGTAATCGAAAATTATCATATACAAAGGTTTATCATAGACGAAGCGATACAGTTTGAGCAATTGCCTGTACAAAAGTTCTCCTTAAGTTGCTTGCTCCAAGGGCTGCAATAAAGCTATCGTTTTTGCGGGTAAAAATATTATTTTTTTATTCGCAAACAAATCTAGCATTGCAATGCTTCTATCTCCAGACGTAGCTTTCAAACCCAAAAGTTGATGTCGCCTTACCTATTTTTCCTTAATCACGTCTGCGCATTAAAAAATATTCATGCATTCCAACATCTCTACCAAGTTTACTCTTGCTATCAGCACGTTTGTGCCTATTTATTACACCAAATTTTTGTTCCACTTTAATCGCCAATCGTTTCTTTTTTTCACCTTCAATATTCACTCAAGCATTATTTCCTTTGCCCATATTTACTGGTGGAATATTATATAAGTTTTGAGTAACTTTATCATACATGTGAAACTAGATGGCGTAACGGCATAGATACATTAACGGCAACGGTCTAACGAATAGTGAATTTTTTCTGGCATTACATGCTGCCTGTTATCAATTGACTATTCGTACCAAATCCAATTTCACACTTTTCAAATCCGTATTAGTCGCGACCCGCGTGTTTATTGCCTAAAAAGATGCAATTCATCCTCACTATAAAGCGATGATGTATTATCCTGTGGACAATGGGGGCCTGATCACACAAGTAAGTCCAAACTGAAACAGTCCTCGATACACCTTCCCTCGGTTACAGCATTTTAGGCATGAGTATTCTCGAAAATAGAAGAGATTCTTGCATATAAACCTAGCCAACCTAGATGGCATACGGTTTCCTAAGAAGAGAAATTATAGTTTGTTCTACAGTTCCATTTAATTTCACAAAGATTTTTCTTCTAAAATGCTTTTTCATCCAGGCTAGACCGCAGTTTCGGCCCCACCGACATTTTACCAACATCCAGATCTTGCGTTGTGGATTTCAGTGTGCCACACGTCAGATGTGAATATCAAGGCAAGCCAGGTCTCCCTCAAATAAAATCGTATTTTTGGATTATTGTGTGTTTGAGTGTGTTTCGAAACTTTTTGGCTTTCTTGAACAAAGACTAGTCCTTTCTTGGAAGAAAGGACAAAGTGAAATTCGCTCCTTGTCAGAGCTGGATCTTGTTCTCATAACGACTGTGAGCTGTGGCGGAGTCAGGAGGGCTAACCAGCTTATCAGTAGCTGTTTTACACAATATTCAACAAAATCCTGGAGGGGAT